GACATCTTTACAATCAGACATGATTACAGTCAGACATGTTTACAGTCGACGTGTTTACAGTCAGACATCTTTACAGTCAGACATGTTTACAGTCAGACATCTTTACAGTCAGACATGTTTACAATCAGACATGTTTACAGTCAGACATGTTTACAGTCAGACTTGTTTACAGTCAACATGTTTACAGTCAGACATGTTTACAGTCAGACATGTTTACAATCAGACATGTTTACAATCAGACATGTTTACAGTCAGACATGTTTACAGTCAGAAATGTTTACAGTCAGACATGTTTACAGTCGGATATGTTTATATTAAGTTATGTTTACAGTCGACATGTTTACAGTTGGACATGTTTACAATCAGACACGTTTACACTCAGACATGTCTAGTTTCAGTTCTGTTTAGTTTACAGTAGTCCCTCGTTTATTGCGGGGGTTACGTTCCGGATCCCTCCACAATAAGTGAAAATCTGCAAAGTAGGAACATTATATTTATTTTAGTATTTATATGTATTTTAAGGCTTTAGAAACCCTTCCTTACAATGTTCTAAACTCTTAAACCTACATCATTTTAACAACATACGCATATGTAGCTACTAAATTTTACTCACCAGCTCTGCAGAATAACAGCCCCTCTTGGTTCCGCTCGTTTCCGGTCCAGCTCGTTTCCGTTTCTGCAGACCTACCCTGCAGCGATGAAGTCCACAATGTTCTAAACTCTTAAACCTACACAATTTTAACAACAAATGCATATGTAACTACTAAATTTTACTCACCATCTCTGCAGAACAGCAACAGCTCGGTTCCGCTCGGTTCCGGTCCAATTTGGTTCTATTGTGGTGGAGCTACCCTGCCGGTTCTGGAGGTGGGCTCCAGAGGGAGTGCCAGACCTACAGGCGACATGTTCGGGGGTCCTCATGGGCTGACTAGTAGCTCTCAGGTTCATTGAGTCTGGGGGGCCAGTTCTGGTCCGGTTCTGTGCAGCCCCTGAGCGCTGAAGCGCATGTTGGGGGTGGAGTGCGGACCTTCGGTTGGCTGGCGCGGGACCGGATGGTGGTCCGATTGAGTCCAAGTTTGGATGAAAGGAGTCTCGGTGGGCTCCAGAGAGAGCGCCGGACCTACGGCGGCATGTCTCCTCTCGGAGGTCCTCGTGGGCCAGCTAGCAGCTCTAGGATTTGCTGATGGATCTGGAGGTCCAGTTCTGCTTTGGTTCTGGTCCGATTCTCAGTTGGTTACATGTGGCTCTCTGCATCTGCTGGGCGCCGAAGTCACTGTATGAATAAGGACCAAACTTTTTCCGATCAGATCAAACTTTACCTTTACAAATTTCAGCAGAAGGCAACGGGGCTTCTGGGCGGGGCCCTATTGGCTTCTGGGAAATGTAGTCGTTATGAGCGGGGGTACAGTGTAAGCTTATTGAGAGAAAACTACAAAATGGCGGCACCTGTGCTAAGTTTATTTTTCATTACCTTTGCACTGTACAGTATCATGTACTGTCCCAATCACGTGAGTAATGTTAAAGTTGACAATCATGCACAATTTTCTTTTTCTCAAGGACAATCTTACTTTAAAAAACTGCGGAAGCGCAAGTCCACGAAGGTCAAACCGTGAAGTAGCGAGGGACTACTGGTATATAGTGCCAAGTACCAACAGAAGTTGTCTCAGGGTAATGTACAAAAACAAACATTATTAAAGACAATTAGTAAAGTTCTCTATCTAAGGAAGCAGCAGATTGTGTTGACTCTTCACTTCATTACAGTCTCCCATCCTGAGCAAGCACAAAGGAGACAGTGGAAAGGAAAAACTCCCTTTTAACAGGAAGAAACCTCCATCAGAACCAGGCTCAGGACGATCGGCTGGAGTTTGAGAGGACAGGAAGTAGAAACAGAAAAAAAAACTGATTGACAGGTCCAGGTGTACTTTATAGGAGGAAAGACAAAAAACCTGTTGATCCATGTTATGAGCCTCCTTCAAGGTCGATCCCGACATGCTGACCGGTCCCAGAAGCTGCAAGGGGCCTGCAATTCTCACAAATCGCCTCCATCTTACGGTTTAGCTCATAAATCAGCTGGTTTTGAGTATTCATAGCACGAACCAAACCTTCATATTGACTTGGAAGCTTTGTCATGGCCGAAACTGCTGCCGATGTCTTCTTCAAAAGTCATTAAAACAGAGCCCCGCCTATGCCAAAAAGCAGAGTCCCTGCTATCATGAATCCAAATATATAAACGTCTTCAGTGTCCTCCTGAGACAGGACTGAGAGGCACATCAGCTGCCAAACTCCCCACGGATCCATGACGTACCCCACAGCATGAGTCTCAGCTGGACAAGAGGGTTCTCCAGGACCCTGTCGTTGTGTTGAAAATATTTTGTTGATTGCGTTGAAAGTCCAGCTTACCAAATCCATAATCTTAATTTTTGTTCGGGAGATGTGTACCAGGCGCTTCAGACCCACAGAGAGCGAAGCAGGAGAAAGGGCAGGAGCAGCCACCTTGAGCGAGAGCCAGACAGAAATTAATTACAGCAACCTTAAAGCTCTGTGGTACATAACCATTTATTACAGATAAATTAGGCAGATCCAAGACACGGTTATTAATTAATGGAAATATGTCTTTAAATGGCCTGGTTGGGATGGGATCTAGCAGACATGTGGATGGATTGGATGAAACTATTATTTTTGACAATTCAGAGCTCAACAGGACAAAAACTGTCCAAACATAAATCAGGTTCTAGTGACATGTCTAAAGCTGCCTTATCTGACAGGGAATCAGAGGCAATAGTAGGAAGGTTGATTTGAATTTTCTCTCTGAAATAATTTTATTTAGAAAGAATG